GTGGTTTTGAAACTGTATTAAAATGTGACTTTCATTACAAATTTCTGTATCCTGTCAATGTATTTTATTTCAATAACTTATTTATTCAGTGTTTGGATATCTTCCATGTCATAGGGCAGGGAAAGTATCTCAATGGAAGAGTTTGTGCCTAGTTTAGTATTTACAAGGCTCAAGTTTGATCTTCAGCACTAGAAGGGAAAAAATCATATTAGCGTTTTAAGAACAAACACAATGGCCCAGCAAGATGACTTAGTGTGTCAAAGCACTTTCCATTAAAGCCTGACTACCTGAGTTCAGTCCCTATCCTCTGAGCTCCCCACATGCACCACCTTACACACACACACACACACACACACACACACACACACACTCGCACGCGCACGCGTGCAATAAAGTTATATAAATAGATAACCTGCATTGACAGGGGATGAATACATAAAGCATGCAGAACATAATTTAGCCAGTTTATTGTTACACATGTATAACAATACTTTTATATGTGCATATACAAATTAAAACTAATGATCCATAAACTAGAGAATTAGGAATAGTAAGTATAGGTAATAGTTAGGGAGGCAGGAGTAAGGTGCAAACACGGAAGGATGTAGAAGGGGCTTCAAAACTATTGGTAGAGCCGGGCGTTGGTGGCACACGCTTTTAATCCCAGCACTCGGGAGGCAGAGGCAGGCGGATCTCTGTGAGTTCGAAGCCAGCCTGGTCTACAAAGTGAGTTCCAGGACAGCCTCCAAAGCTACAGAGAAACCCTGTTTCAAAAAACCAAAACAAAAAACAAAAAAACAAACAAAAAAAGCTATTGGTAGAATTTCAAGCATCCATTGCTTGGCAGTAAGCCACCCTGAAACATGCCAGTTGAAATGTGCATTTTCTCACTAATCCACAGTATGGACAGAGGTTGTCAAGGACCACCTGATTCATGCAAAAGTCATGGGTTTAAATCTTTGTAGTCACTCATGTGTTTGAAAGTTGGTGGTGGCTGTTAGCCAGGATTTGCAGTGAGACAGAACCAGGCCATGTCCAGCATGACTTTGTTCTAAGAGTAAGAGTTGACAACTGGGCAGTGGTGGTGCATGCCTTTAATCCCAGTACTTGGGAGGCAGAGGCAGGCAGATCTTTGTGAGTTCAAGGCCAGCTTGTTCTACAAAAACTAGTTACAGGGCAGGCTCCAAAGCTCCACAGAGAAACCCTGCCTTGAAAAACAACAAAACAAAAGTTGACAGTCAACTGGAAGCCAATTTGCCTTTTCTTCCCTGGCGTGACTCTTCTGCAGCTTAGTCATCAGAGACGGTAAGTGTTGGAGAGAAATGTGCAAAGAACATCACGACTCAGGAACAAAATGCAAAAACTTTCATTTAGCTTAATACCAACAATGCTCACCTTCTAGTCCATCCTCATATCTCTTTCAGTCCGTGTGTTTGGAGAGTGGGTATTGCAACCCAGTGCACTGTTAGTGGGACTATTAAATGGTGCAACCATGGTGAAAAACAATATAATGATTCCTTTCAAACAAAATCACCATAGGATCCAGAAGTCCCACTTCTGGATATATGTCCCAGTGCTTGGGACACAGGACCTCAGTATTTGTGCACTCACCCGTGTTCATTGGAGCATTGTTCTTCACAATAGTCAAAGATGAAAGCAACCCAACCTAAATTACCATGATAGAGAACAGTTAGTACATACATGAGATGGGATTTATTTATTATTCAACCTTAGAAACAATGATCCAAGGGCTGGGGAGATGGCTTATGGGTGAAGTGCTTCCTGCTCAAGCATCATCTGAATTTGGGATTCCAGAGCCCACACAAGACAAGCTGGTGGTGTGTACAGAGTCCACACAAGACAAGCGTGATGGTGTGTACCTGTAACCCACACAAGACAAGTGTGATGGTGTGTACCTGTAACCCACACAAGACAAGCGTGGTGGTGTGTACCTGTAACCCATAGAAGAAATCGTGGTGGTGTGTACCTGTAACCCACACAAGACAAGCGTGGTGGTGTGTACCTGTAACCCAGTGCTGGGTGCAGACTGAGACACTGGATCCTGAGCACTCACTGCCAGCCACTCTAGACAAATTTCAGGTTAGGATTCAGCGAAAGACCTTGTCTCAAAAATAAGGGTGGCAGGGCCGGGCAGTGGTGGCGCACACCTTTAGTCCCAGCACTCAGGAGGCAGAGGCAGGTGGATCTCTGTGAGTTCGAGACCAAGCCTGGTCTACCAACCGAGTACCAGGACAGGCTCCAAAACAATACAGAGAAACCCTGTCTCGAGAAACAAACAAACAAACAAAATAAGAGTGGCAGAACTTAGAGATGTCTCAACAGTTAAGAGCACAGCCTGCTCCTGCAGCAGACCTGGATCTGGTTCCCAGCAGCCACATGGTGGCTCACAACAGTCTGGAACTTCAGTTCCAGGGATCTGGGTCCCTCTTCTGGGCTCTGAGGACACTGCACACATACATATGAAATATTTTTAAATAAGGTTAAGAGTATTGGCTGCTCTTGCCAAGGACCTGGGTTTGAAACCCAGCACTCACACACAGTGTGGTTCACAACAGTCTGTAACTCAAGTTTCAAGGCATCTGATACCCTTTTCGGGCACCCATAGGCACCTGGCATGCGTGTGGTGTGCAGACATACATTCACACAAACCCCACACAGTAAAGGATAGTAAGGTGGAGGCTGGGAAAGGAAGACACCCAAATTTCTCTGAGAATGAAGAAATTATATCACTTGCATGAAAATGGAAGTAAACAAATTAATCTAGTCTGAAAAAGGAAACTTCATGTTCTCTCTCTCTCTCTCTCTCTATCTCTCTCTTCCTCCCTCCCTCCCTCCCCACTTCCCTCCCTCTCTCCTTCCCTTCCTTCCTTCCTTTTTTTTCTTTTTGAAACAAGGTTTCTCTGTGTGAGTCCTGGCTGTCCTGTAACTCACTCTGTAGACCAGACTGGCCTTGAACTCAGAGATCTGCCTGCCTCTGCCTCTGAGTGCTGGGATTAAAGGTATGCACCTCTACTGCACAGCCTTGATGGTAATTTTGTATGTTGGAAAAAATAAACCGGCTGACAAGATGTTCTCAGTCACTGCGTGCCTGCCTTGCAAGCAGGAGAACCAACGTTGTGTCCTCAGAACCCAAGTAGAAAATGCTGGGTATGGGCATCTTGGTAGTCTCAGTGCTGGGCAAGGGGAGGCAGGTGGATCGGTGAAGCTTGCAGTCTTGCCCACCTGGTCTACTTCAGAGTTCAAGCCCAATGAGTGACTGTGTCTTTAAAAAGCAGATGATGCCCGAGGAGCAACTTGGCTGTCTTCTACATGAGCATTCACACACAAACACATAGACACACACATGTAAAGTGAAAAGGTGAATACTACACACAGCCCTACCTATGGGAGAAATTTCAATCAGTCAAACTCTGTTTTTTTTTGTTTGTTTGTTTTTTTGGCTTTTCGAGACAGGGTTTCTCTGTGGCTTTGGAGGCTGTCCTGGAACTCGCTCTTGTAGACCAGGCTGGCCTCGAACCACAGAGATCTGCCTGCCTCTGCCTCCCGAGTGCTGGGATTAAAGGTGTGCGCCACCAACGCCCAGGCCCCCCCAGTTTTTGTTGTTTTTTTTCCCATGGCTTTAACATGAAACGATGTTGCACTTTATCAAAGACAATGTAATCTTGTGATTTCTGTCCTTAGGCCACTTTTTGTTGTGTTTTATTTATTGATTTGTGTATGCTGAAGCATAGTTACAGCCAACCAGATTTGTCATGCTGTGTAGTCTCAATGTGTTCTTGAATTCTGCCTGCAAGGCTTCTGTTGAGAAGTTTTGTTTCTATGAGGTTTTGTGAAGTGCTCTTACTGAGCTTTGGTACTGGGATAATGCTGGCTTTCTTGAGCGAGCTTGACCACATTCTTTCCCTTTTACTTTAAGAATACTTGGAGTAGGGTTGGTCTAGGTCTTTTATTTTTAAGGTTTCGTAGAATTCGGCTGTGAATTCATCTGGTTCTGGGCTTTTATGTGTTAAGAGACTTTGTGTTATACCCTCAATCTCATTGATTGCTATGATTCCGCTTAAATTGCTCATAGTCTCATGAATTAATTTGGTAGGTCATATGTATCCAAGAATTTATCTGTTTCCTGTACTTTCCAACATTTTTTAAAAAATCCAAGTTTTTCTGGGCTTTCGTGGTGCATCCCTTTAATCCCAGCACTCCGGAGGCAGAGACAGGCGGATCTCTGTGAGTTCGAGGCCATCCTGGTCTACAGAGCGAGTTCCAGGACAGCCTCCAAAACAATACAGAAAAACCCTGTCTCGAAAAACAAAACAAACAAAAAAATCTTAGTTTTTGTTCTATTCTCTAATTATCCTTTAGATTTCATTGACATCTGTTGCAAAAACAAAAAAACATTTTTATCCTTTAGTTTTATTAATCTGAATCTCTCCTCCCGTTATTGTGGTTAGGGATTTGGCAGTGTTATTTATTTTTATTACTTTGTAAGGCACTAAACTCTGTGATGGAGTCTATGTCTCTATACAAATGTTTTCATTTTGAATATTAACCTAGCAACTAAAATAGCTAATACTCGAGGTATTTTAACCTTGTGCTTTTTAATTTCTCCTCACTCCCTACTGACACACCATCAACGTGCGTATTCAAAATCATATGCATTCGATACCGAGGGAACAATACCCATATTGGGTCAGTAATGCATTCCTTAGTTTCTAGTGCTATAAGGAAATTTTGGAATGGGTTCCATAGTTTTTGGAGGAAGACACTGAAGTTCGTACAGGAGAAACTCCCATCTGGGGTTAGCTTTGTTTGGTGTACTATCGCCCACAGGGTCGCTTTCTGGGTGCAGCCTCTGAACACCTTTAAACGCTTCACTTCAGGAGGTCACCAAGCTTCAGCCTTCAGCGAGACCGCTCCGCCCGCCCAGCTAGCTCCAGCTCTGCGCGTGCGCACAGTGACCCGCCGGCTTCTTCAGGCTCCGGAACCTCCAGCAGGCGGTTTCTTGTGTGAGCGGCCCGGCGGGTTTTGCCGGGAGCACCGAGAGGCGGGGACATGCAGTCAAAAATGGAGCTGGTGGAGGTCCTGAGGCGCGGACTGCAGCAGGTCAGCGGGCACGGCGGCCTGCGGGGCTTCCTAAAGATTTTCTTCAGGTAGGAGGCCAGAACTCGACTCCGGCTCTCAGGGGACGGCGCTGGCTGCCTTCCTGGAAAGGGACCCGGGTATTAGCGCCCTGGAGAGCCACAGTTCCCGTCAAGGACGACAGGCTCAGCCCCGGGGTTGTGATCCTCGGAAGTCTCCGGGCCGGCTCAGCCCCAAGTGTGGCGCTGTGACTGACGGACGCCAGGGCTGAGGCAGCTGGGCTGCACCGGTCCGCGAGTCCTGGGGCGCAATGACTTACCAGGCGCCCCCTCGGTGACCTTGGGGAAGTTTTCCGAGGCGCCGTCGTACAGTAAGAAGTTGAGGCGACCCTAACCTTCCGTGTCAGCCCCTGGCACCCCGACAAGCAGCAGCAACGGCGAGGAGCCAGTTGGAGACCTGTAGTGGACTGAAAACTCCAGGAGACATTCGTAAGGCGAAGATGAAGTACTTTGGCTCTCTGAAGAGTTTGCTAACTAGTGCCCCTGGGTGCCGGGAAGGGAGATGCGTGCACTGTGGCTTGAAGGTCGTGTTTTAAATATTTAAGCATATCAGTTGTGTTGGTTAATGTTTATCACCTGTCCCCACGTTACTGGGACCACACGCACAGAGTTCTTAGCAGGAAAGTTGACCCTCGAACGTTGAGTGGCAAGAGCCTTCTGCGGAAGGCTGGAGGTGCCCAGCTAGCGACTGTCCCCAGAATCTCCTCATTCTTGTAGCTGATGCATCAATGGATGATATTCTCACTTTGTTTCTGTTTGTGCCTTGAACAGTGAACCATTCTGAGATGCCTTTCTTTTTTCCCACCGTGTATTTACAGGGCAAATGATATTAGGCTTGGTACCTTGGTGGGAGAAGACAAATATGGAAACAAATACTATGAGGACAACAAGCAATTTTTTGGTGAGTGCAATATTTTCTATATGAATAACTGGATTGGGGTTGGGATTTTGAGTCTTTTTCCGTTTCATTCGTGAGCTTATACGAAGTATTTGGGAAGGGATGTAAAGCAATAGAAGATTTAAAAGACGTGCAGACAAGAAGGCTCAGCCAGTTTGGGCACCTGCCACCAAGCCTGGTGACCTGAGTTATTCTTGAAGTCGACTCTTTAGAAGATCTTTCAAGAAACCAGGACATCGACTGGCTAAAACTATTCCAGTTTTCATGACTGCAAGTTCGTGCCCCAGAGGTTTACATCTTAACCATAACATTCTAAACACAAACCACAGAACTTTAGACATGGGTCAGATTTTAAGAAGTCATCTGAGCTGGGCATTGTTGTAAGCATTATGGCGGCTCGGCTGGGATGGACAGGAATGGATTATGGCACTTGGGAGCCAAAGAATACTGAGTGTTACAGCTTGGATGGAAAGTATTCTGGCACTCGGGAGCCAAGGAATACTACAGGTCACAGTAGCCATAGCAGCTTACAGCCCTGCCTCAGGGAAAGGCTTCCCCAGTGTATCAGCTCTGCTAGCCAGGAGAGGGTTTCCCTACCAAGTTGTTACAGTTCCGGTCTAGTACACTAGCAAAGTGTAACAACTTAGCTTCACTAGGAAAGATTTCCCCAGAGAAAAGTGTTACAGCCCTGTTTCACTCAGTTCTGCCTAGGGTCCTCTGCTCCGGCTAAAGAAGATCTCACACAAACCTCATTTGAGAGATTTTTTGGGAAGGAAGAATCCTGAAGTGGCCGCCCTTCTGCCTCAGCCAGATCCTGAGCAGGCACAGGGTTTATATAGGGTTTCTTAGGGGGTGGAGTTCTTCCAGGGAGATTTCCCAGGTGGGGGTTGGTCAGATTTCAATCCCTTAGCTCAGAATGGCTAGATCTCCTGCTCAGGGATTGGTTAGTTTTTTTTTTCACGGGCTTAGGGTCAGGTTTGGCTCTGGCTTCAGGGCCAAAGTGTGTTTCTTTCACTGGTCCTTTTTAGCCTTTTGGCTCCAATTTTAGGGCCAGGGTACATTTCTTTCACTGACTCTGATTCCAGGGACAAAGTGTGTTCCTTTGGCACTGGTTTTAGGGTCAGGGTACATTTCTTTGGTTCTGGTTGCAGGGCCAAAGTGTGTTTCTTTGGCTCTGCTCAGGGTGTGTTTCTTTGACTGGCCCTTTTTCCTTACAATTGTGGCTCCTGTGATCTTAGCACTCTGGAGGCAGTGCAAGAGAATTGCCAAAGGTTGGAGGCAAGCCTGGGCTACCTCAAAAATAAATAAATAAGCAAACAAACAAATAAGCAAATAAATAAATAAAGCCAAAACCAAAAGAAAGTACCTAAAAACTGGTTTTTATAGACGAAGTAGCCAAAGCTGAAGGAAATGTCTTTGTCAGAGACTTGATCATATAACAGAAATGATAGGAGAGCCCCAAGGGGATATTCATTCTTTCTACTCATTACTGTTTCATTAGAAATCAAACTGACCTTCCTTCTCTCTTAAGTATCTTCATTTTTGCTAATTATCAGAGTGAAATATACATTTAATATACATTAAATTTTAGTGTCTAAAGAGCAAAAGTTGAGCTGAGGATATTAAATAGTTCATTGATAGAGTTCTTCCCTTGAGGGCCTAAGGCCCTGGGTTCAACTCTTACAGGGATAAAAAAGAAAAAGAAAGAAGTGAAAAGTGCCTTCTCTAGTAAGTTTACCCTATTTCTCTTTTAATTACATTTGTTTGCTTACTTATTTTCATGTGTGGGTGTTTGAGTCCCATGGGGCACATGTGAAGGTCAGAGGACAACTTGTAGGAGTCTGTTCTCTCCATCCATGGTGTAGGCTGCAGTGATCTCAAACTCAGGTCCTCACACTTGGCTGCAGGCTCCTTCACCAGCTGCCATCTCGTTGTCCCTTGTAGTTTTACTTCTCTCTTAATGCTTTAACTTGTGTATATTTTAGAGACCTCTGATGGGGGCTGGAGAGAGAGCTGTGATTAAGAGTACTTGCTGCTCTTGCAGAGGACTTGAGTTCAGTTCACAGTGTTAGCCATCTGTAACTCCAGTTCCAGGGGAATTTGATGCCCTCTTCTGACCTCATGGGCACCCGACACACATGTGGTGTGCATGCATGCGCGTGCGCGCGCACGCAGACAAAGCACTCATACACATAAAATAAAAATAAATAATTCTTTACATAATAGTCTAAAAACAAATTCCTACATACGGTTGCTAATCGTGAACATGGACTTTCAACATCAAAATGATGTTTTTAGGTTTAATGGTATGAATGTTTTGCCTGTATGTATGTCTGTACACACATGCATGCCTAGTGTCTATGCATGCCAGCAGAAGGTATCAGATGCCCTGGAACTGGAGTTACAAATGACTGCTAGCCAGTGTGGGTGCTGGAAGATGAATCCAAAGTCCTCCGTAAGAGCAGCAAATGCTCTTAACAGCTGAGCCATTTCTCCAGCTCTGACTTTCAACATTTAAAAAATGGTTGCTAAGGGTCAGCTCTGTCATAGTACAAATCTGTTGCCATTTATTAAACCTTTTCCATGGTTCATTCCATCAGCCTTGACAGTCCCCTGCCTGTTGGATTGTAGTTCATGTTTACTTATCTGTTCTTCTCTTTTTTGTCATGTGTGTTTTGTGTGCCACTCGGTCTGGTCTTGAATTCTGCTGTCCTGTCAATGGCCCTAATGGAAACTGAGAGCACTTTTGGGGTGTGTGTGTGTGTGTGTGTGTGACTGTGTGGTGTATGTGTGTGTGTGACTGTGTGGTGTGTGTGTGTGACTGTGTGGTGTGTGTGATTGTGTGGTGTGTGTGTGCGCGCGCTCGTAGGTCATACACTTGAGTACCATTCCTCAGGCACCATTCACCTTCACCCTTTGTTCCATTTACTGGCCTGGAACTCACCAAGTAGGCTAGGCTGGTCAGCCAGTTGGCCCTAGGGATCCACCTATCTCTGACTGAGTTGATATTATATGCACCTGCCACCATGCCTGACTTGTATTTATTTCATTTATGTGAGTTCTGGAGCTCAAACTCAGGTCCTTGTGCCTGCAGGTAAGCACTTCATTGACTAGTTTTCTCCTATCCCTGGAAAGTTTTGGAAATAGTAGATAGGCCACCCAACTCACTTCACAGATATTTGTTAAATAAAATAACACAGCCTTGCTATTTTGAGAACATGAACTGTCCTCTTACCTAACCATCATTTATAATTCTCCCCTATTATATAAATTTCACATATTTATTTCCAAAGGATCACATGGTTCCTTTTTTGGTTTTAATTTATTTAGAAACCTAGAATTAATGTGTAGTGTTATGAATGCATTGGCTCTGATCTCTGAAGAACTTTCTTTCCTTGGGGTTCCTTGGGCAGCCAGGACCACATGTGCCTACCCTCTTTGCTCATTTCTGAGTCAAGGTGTTGGGGAGAAGCAAGGATTCTCCACTGTGAAAAGGTTGTGAGCTTAATACCAGTTCTGCGATGAAGCCTGCTTCATAGTGCACCAGGATGCCATCCTTCAAGTGACCATGTTATGTGAGAACACAAAGATACTGTCTTTGTTACTATGTGCATATGTCAAACAATCATCTTCTTCCACCCAGGCCGTCACCGATGGGTCATCTACACCACGGAAATGAACGGCAAAAACACATTCTGGGATGTGGATGGAAGCATGGTGCCTCCTGAATGGTAAGCCAAGCCATCATGCTATTTGATAGGCAGGGGCAGTGTTTATTTCACAATAGAAGGTTCTATTGCCTAGTTACTTTTAAGGTGATTACTAGTGATGAATCTACCTTCGGGCACAGTGTTTATAGGAGTTACTCCACAGAATAAGTGGTTTAAGACAGCAATCACACGTTTTTTCCATAACTTTTGTGAGTCAGGGGTTCTAGGCAAAACAAAGTGGCTTGTCTCTGCTCTGGAATGTCTGGGGCCTCAGAGTTCCAGGCTCATCTGAAGACTTGTTAATGCTGGCTGTCAGCTGGGTGGGAGCACAGCTGAGGCTGTGGTTAGAACATCTTCATGTTGCTGTGACTCTTCAGGTGATTGCTTCAAGAAAAATACAAGAGGAAGCTATGTTGCCTTGTTAGACCTGACCTTAGAAATACTCATTGTCATGTCCATCTTCCATGTCTTGACACGGTTAGAAAGTGCTGTCCCAGTCAGCAGAAAACATTGAGTGCCTTTTCTTGGAGGCATGCTAAAATGACATTATATATGTAATATATATAGTGGTAATCTGGGGAAAAGCACATTCCACAGTACCACCTGTGTGTGAAGGGAATGGTACAAAGACCCCTGGCTGGACTTCTCTAACAATTTAAATTCAGGCATGCCCCATGCCCCTCAACTTCTTTAGGGCTTGGTTTCCTCATCTATAAAATGGTAGCCCTAAGATTCCTTAAGTCTCTAAAACCTCTATGGTATCATAATACACATGTCTTGAAACAAAAACAAAAAATTTAAATGCTCACACTTAACCAAATTTATATAAAATATTTCAGAGCAAAATACTTATATCTTTTTTTTTTCATTCCTGGAATAACAAACTGAAAATCCTTACCAATGATTCTAGAAATTCTCATTTAAAAAAAAATCCAAAAAACAAAGACACAGAAATTGCTGCTCCTAGTGGTCAAGCTTGGAATCCTGTCTTCTTAGAAAGTTGAGGAAGAAGGACAACACCAGCCTGGGCATGAGGGCTGGGGTGATGACTCACGGACAGACTCTTCAATTCTTAAAGACTCTTTTGGAAGCCAGGCATGTGATGTTAGTAGGTGATATGCAAACGTGAGACAGTAATATACTAGGGATTACCATGAGCTGGAAACGCAGACTCCACCAAGAGGGGGCAGCCAATTAGCTTTCCCTGGTGCTGTTAGGTGAGAATCCTACCAAGGCTTTTCAGATAATGGTTTTCCTACATGAGTACATTTGTATTTTCATTGTAAGAGTTCTTGTTTTTTAACATTAATTTTTTTGTGGTAATTTAAGTATTCCCAATAGAATGTTTCGTGGTGATGAAATCTATGTCTGTACAGCCTAATGCAGTAGACATACCTGGCCCCAAGCACTGTAAAATGTGGGTAATATAACTAAGATAACAAATCATTTATTTACTTATACATTGTGTGTGTGTTGGGGGACAGGGCTTCATTCTGTAACCTAGGCTGGCCTGGAGCTCATAGTGATCCTCCTGATTCAGCTTCCTGAGTACTGAGATAACAGATAGGAGCTAACCTTTTAGTCATACATTCAGCCTTTTAGTAGAATTAAATAGGCTGCTTGGTTGGGCAAGCAGTTTTCAAAAATGCTGTTTAGCAAGAACATGTAACAGCTTTTACTCGTAAGTAGTTTTCACCGGGCTGATAACTGAACTAATTGGGAACAGCCGCGGTTCCGAGGTGGTGCATTTGGGCCCGGTGTTGAGATGATGGATAGGCCTTGACTCTGTTAAGGTCTGGAGAGCTGCAGTCTCTCCCTAAAGCAGTCCTCCGAATACAGGACTGGACCCACAGCCTCTAGGTCCAGTACCAGGCTCACGAGCTGAGGGACCACCTTGCTTTTATGCAGTTGACTGTTCTGTAGCTGGAGTTCATTCTGGGTGGACACCAGAGGCATGTGTGCTGTTGTGTTCAGACTGATGCCTGTCTCCTTTAGATACTGGCTGTTTGTGCTTGGGGTCAGCGTCTTGAGAGAGGAGAGATAGGGGGTGCTGGTTTAAATTATGTGGAATGAAGCCCATTTAAAACTAGAGTTAAAATTTTGGCAAGATAAAAGTCCTGTTCAGCCAAGCGAGTCCTTTTATATGATCACGTATAGATCACATGGACTAGAAGACAGAGCTGGAGAAGACAGGATCACTCTGGCTGGTGCCTGAGGGCAACAGCATAGGATGCTGGGTTTCCCTGTCAAAGGGGTCTCCTAAGGATAGGCTTTGATGACTCATCTCTGTATGGGGAGAAGTGGTGACAGGAGGCTCAGCTGTGTTTGTTCTTAGACAGACCTCACTCTGCTAAATGTGGTGTACTGTGGAATTCTCCATTCCTTCCATATGTAAATTTGAAGGTGGGACCTAGATGTTGTAATTTCTGCCTGTGATCTTGGCACTCCAGAGACTGAGGCAGGATGGCCATGAATTCAAGACCAGACTGGAGTACAGAGTGTAGTCTTGCCTAAAAAAACAAAATAAAATTGAAGGGGAGTTAATCTCTAATTAGAGAGCCAGGTGGCATTGTGCGTATTCAGTATGAATAGCAGGTTCAATTTAATCATCTTTTTGCATTCGCCTTATTGAGTACCCAGTGCTTATAAGGTATTGTAAATACTACAAATAGAATATTGGATAAAGCAAATGTATGTTTTTATGGCAGAAAAAGTGTGTTGCATGTATCTGAAGTAACAAGGCAAAGAAGATAAAACGAAGCTGGGATTTCTGTGATTTATTAGGAGGTAGAGAAATGTGTGTGTGTGTGTGTGTGTGTGTGTGTAATATATATATTTTTTGTGAGGCAGAGTCTTAGTATATAGCCTAGGTTGGCCCCAAAGTCATGATCCTGCCCCAGCTTTCTGGGTACTGGTGTAGGTATAGACCACTGTGCCCTTAGGAAGTTATTTTAATACAGGGGATAGGGAAATCTTTGAAGAAGTGACATTGTAGGAGACTTAGGAAGGGTGGGCGCTCCAGGCAGAATTTTTCACAGAAGCTTAGCTGTGCAAGCTCTGGTGTTTCACACACACTCCTGGTGTGTCACACACACTCCTGGTGTGTCACACACACTCCTGGTGTTTCACATACAACTCCTGGTGTGTCACACACACTCCTGGTGTGTCATACACACTCCTGGTGTTTCACATACACTCCTGGTGTGTCACACACACTCCTGGTGTTTCACATACACTCCTGGTGTGTCACACACTCCTGGTGTGTCACACACACTCCTGGTGTGTCACACACTCCTGGTGTTTCACACACACTCCTGGTGTTTCACATACAACTCCTGGTGTGTCACACACACTCCTGGTGTGTCACACACACTCCTGGTGTGTCACACACACTCCTGGTGTGTCACACACACTCCTGGTGTTTCACATACACTCCTGGTGTTTCACATACGCTCCTGGTGTGTCACACACGCTCCTGGTGTGTCACCCACTCCTGGTATTTCACACACACTCCTGGTGTTTCACCCACACTCCTGGTGTTTCACACACACTCCTGGTGTTTCACACACTCCTGGTGTTTCACACACACTCCTGGTGTTTCACACACACTCCTGGTGTGTCGTGTCACACACTCCTGGTGTGTCACACACACACTCCTGGTGTTTCACACACAACTCCTGGTGTTTCACATACACTCCTGGTGTTTCACACACACTCCTGGTGTTTCACATACACTCCTGGTGTGTCACACACGCTCCTGGTGTTTCACACACAACTCCTGGTGTGTCACACACACTCCTGGTGTTTCACATACACTCCTGGTGTGTCATACACTCCTGGTGTGTCACACACACTCCTTAGTGTGTTATAAGAGCAGCAGTGTAGCCAGTTAGACTGGGGCATATACATGAGGGGGAGATGAGAAGAAATGGGATAGGACAAATAACTCTGTCCCAGAACACTATAGGCAATTGTTAATACCCTCTCTTTTTATCTAAAATTCTTTAGAAGTAAGGTAGGTTGTGATCTGGTTTATAGATTCTTTTAAACAACATTTTTTAAATAAAACAATCTCATTTTCAGAGTTATAACCAGCTTTTGAATCATTTCAAAGTAGGGTATCCAAGCATGGCCCATCACACCTCAGTACCTTCGTGTGTAATTACCACAAGCAGGTCATCCCCTGTTTAAACACAGATTAAACATCGATTTCAAGAAATTATTAACTCCATGGGGTTTGGGCTGAACCTGAGAACTAAATTGATGGAATAGGATAAAATAGGATGGAAAGTATATAAACTGATTAAAGTTTCATTACACAAAGCCACCTGTAAGAAACAAATACTCTCGTAAAAACCAAAAAAAAAAAAAAAAGAAGCAAATACTCAGACAGTTGATATTAAATAATGTTAGTTCTCTGTCATTATGACAGAATGCCTGAAGTAATTACATACGAAGAGAAAAGAGTAGGTGTGAGAATCATGCTCGCCCTGAAAGCTTTAGTTTTGTTTCCAGGCTGGAGATGCAGCTCAGAGTACTTGCCCGGGATGTGTAAGGATGTGTTCAATCCACAGTAACAGTCAATCAATCAGTCAGTCAAAAGAGTCCATTAAGGTAGGAAAAGGAACGTGCATGAGAGTTGTGTTGGAAGGGAATGGTTTCCTCACAAGTACAAGACTGCATGTGGACATATGTCACAGAAATAAGGCCATGCTCTTCTTGTTACGCTCTGCCAAGTGGCCTCCAGTTTGGATTTGTCCCATTGTTAATTATAACTAAAAAGAAATTACTCATTTTCTCTTTGTGTTAATTAGCATTTTGTGAGGCAATATGTTGAAGTTTCATATTCCATTCATATTTTTAATATATTTTTGTTAGTATCAATACCTGTTAGAGTCGATGAATTATAATCAGTTTCTATAATTAGTTCTTTTATTCCTTAAACTGGGCTTAATTTGATTACTAGGAACCCATTTTGAATGACTTTTGGGTGCTTTTGAAATGACCCCATCCTTCTGAAA